TCAGAAAAGATTGGACTTTTGCATGTTGACATCGTACATCAGAATTTAAAGATGATGTGACTAATGACGAGATTTATTCACTAACAGGGTTATTCAATAAAATGACTATTTAAGGTTAATTTCAAATTTAAAGTAAATATAGTGAACCAAAAACATTCTCTGAAAAGTGAGAGAGCTATGCTCAAAGTCTGGCTACTTTGGCCAAAAGTGATTGACCGTGAAAATAATCAGCATTCAAAAATGCTAAATTGTAGTTAAATAGTCAAAAATAATCTTCAACATGGCTATATTTTTTCCAAGTCCATTTTGGCCTCCATTTGGTCATACACTGTTCTGAGAGACTGGTAATAAATCTAGCATTGAATCAATTAATTACAAACTGGCCAGTTATTATATATTACAGGCCGTAATCTTCCATGTCATCAACATTTTGTAACAGGTAACCATGAATTGCATGAACTGTAAAATGTGTGCCAACTTACAATTATAATATTTAGCTGGTTCATAAATTCAAACAACTTACACATTTTCTTGGCATGCTTACCATTGCTTTCAGTATTTCATTTAGACATCTGTGTGCCCGAATTACAATGTGAAATCATTCAGGTGCAACAGAACAACAGAGGGATATGTGCACTGTGTAATGAATGGCTTTGGTCTTACACCGCAATAGATAAGTGTATTTGTCATCATGTAGAGATATCCCTTCCAAGAGCTATTTTGGTTATAATTTAGTGTAAAATGTACATAGAGTGGGATTCAAATAGCCTGTAAGACATTTGATTAACTTGAAAATTCTAACAATTTAGTCAGGATAAGCAAATATTGCTAGCAATTTGGTCAGTACAATGGTAAGTTGACTTTTATTAGCAAATGAAACCATGATGTATGTTTTTCTTTATGACAAATGCACTTAAACTCTTTTAAGGTTTAAGACATCCACTGATATAATTTATTGGCTAACCTGGGAACTAACAAGAGAAATGCAAATTCTATTGCATAGTTGCTGAGAATCATTTTGGTTTTGTTATTTTGTCTTAAAAATTCCAATTCACCCAGCAATTATCATCAGTTCTTGGTTTTGTCAATATACTCTATGTGTTTGACTACTGAATAGAAAAAGAAAAAAGACCAGAAAATAGTGCAGTATCATTTGTATAATGAAAGAACAAATGAACACAAAGACTCTTAATGAAAATGTATGAGACAAATTACATCTCATATGAAGTCCTTTTACGATATGCATAATTTAAAAACTTCAATCTTGAGGATACCAGAGATGTCAATACAACCAATCAGTCTTTGTTTCCAGAGATTTATGGCTTGAATACTCTGTCGCTGTAGCAAGGTTGTTGGACTGGCTCATCAGAAATAAGAGGCAACTGTGGTGAAAATCAAGTGTCGGACTTTTTAAGAGATAATAGTATTGCAGGTGTAATGTTTGTATCAACGTATTTTACTCTGAAACTTTAAAAGACAAATATCAATCAAGATACAGCATAAAAGCACCAAATTGCACTTTTTATAAAAAGTTACAAGTACGTAAGGGTATCACAACATACAATGAAGAAAGAACTTAACGACATTAGAAACTACAAGGTTCACAATTTAGTAATTCCTTAAAGGGACACTGTAGGCAACCATACTACTTCAGCTCATTGAAGTGGTCTGGGTGCATTGTCCCTTTTGCACCTATTGCTGCAATGTAAAACATTGCAGTTCTAGAGAACTGTCTACCAGACAGTCACTGGGGGCGCTTCCAGAATCCAAATAGACTTTTGGTCCGTAATCTGACACTGGACGTCCCCACGCTCTGCATGAGGACCTCCAACATCAGATTTTCCCCATAGGAAAGCATTAAATAATATGTCTCCTACAGAGAGGTCTAATAATACCTTCTATGGGGAGGTCTAAAGTGCGTACATGGCCATTGCCATGCATGTGCATTAGGTCTGCCCTGCTGGTTGACGGCGGCGGAGGAGGAGCGTAGGAGGAGCCTGACCCAGCGCTGAGGTACATCGGCACTGAATTCAGTTAAGTGTCTGAAGGGGTTTTAAAGGGGGCTGCAAGGGAGAGGGGAACTTATCAACCTATAGTGCCAGGAATACCGCTTTTTTTTCCTGGCACTAAAGGGACCCTTTAAAATCACATGACGTGGCTAGGTGCTAATGTAAAGCATAATGCAGTTTAGCAAGACTGGTGCTCTTTTGATCTGATCTTTGCAATCTTCAAATAATTCCCTGCTAGTAAGAGGATGAAAGGCCTATATATCGAATGCATTATATAATTTAAGATGGAATTAAATACTCCTGTTAGAACAGCATTCAAATTCAATTGTGTTATTTTAACAGAACTTGTCTTTCAAAAAAAAAAAAAAAATGCCCATCCCATTTTATGGATTTTTAAGTGTCTTCAAACACTAGTTACATGATTGTTTAAATTATAAACAAGCAATTGGGTAAATATTTAAAAAGTCATTGAGATGTTCTATAGTCTAGATTTATGAAAGGGTGTTTGGGTTTCCTAAATCTCTAATTCTCGTTTGAATGAATAGAAGAAAAGATGTGGTAATCCTTAGTGGCGTTTAATAAATCTAGGTCTACATAAAATTAACTTGAAACATCACTCCCTTAGCTGCACTAATTGTTTTTGGAAGGATATAAGCTTTTTTGTGTTGCAGAAACATTGGAACTCTGGGAGTTAACGCACAGTCACTGCATTGCCAGTAGAATTGTTTTACGGCAGCAATACTAGCTCTTACAATGAAAATACATCAGACATCAGGCTTTTTTCATTACCAGAGTGAAGTTGTCATTTTGAAATGTAAAAAAATAAATAAAAATAAATAAGTAAAAAGCGCATTATACATTCAGGCAGAATGAGACATCAATGTGAAATATAAATAAATGACCAAAAAAAAAAGTAGAAAACATCCTTGAATTTATGACATGGTTGCCACATTCCAAGCTTTATTTATGTTCTCCGCCTGTCAATATCAAAAGCATGAAAAA